GTGCATCTCACAGTGGGGTCTTGGCTTGGAAGGCTTGCAGCTTGAGTATGCTCCCATTTCCTGGCAATTCAGGGAACTGTGTCTGGGAGTTTACCTCTCTAAAGAACCTGGTGCTTAACTGTGGTCCCTTATCTGTGGTGTCCCAGTGTTCTGCATAGCTCACTGATGTGCTCCAGACCCTGTGACTTTGCAGCAGATGGTCTTCTCATGCTGCAGCAACTTCAGGGTTACACTTAGTGGTCTCTTCTGCATGTGAGTACCTTGATCTCTCCTTTACAGTGGTAGGTTTGAAAGACCACTCTAACCCCTCTTTCTGTTTGTCAGCCTTTGAAGGAAAACTCTTTTAGTTACTGCACTGGTGTCCCCACATAACTTGTGAGATGCCTTAGGTTTCTGTGCTAATGCTGCAATATATGACAGTGTGAATAAGTGTAAGAGGGTGAGAATAAAAGTAGTTTCTGTAGTTTATCCTTAAGAGCCAGCAGACCTACTGATACCTCAGGTACCATTAATTCTTGATTGGGGCATGCCAAGCTTGTCAGAGGAGCCATCTGCTACTTCGTTCTATGTCTATTTATTTATTTATTAGTGAGGTGAATCCCGACACCTCACATGGAAAAACTGTAAGGAGAACGACATTTTATATTCAGCTTCCTGCAGAAGATTTTACCAAGAAGGACAGTTTAGTTTTTGTTGTTGATTACTTCTTGTGGTACTCTGCATCATGATGTGTTTCTTTTTATATTATGTTCACTGACTGGTTTCTAACTAGTTTATCTTGATATTTGCTACTGAAGTGACACACAAAGAAGCTGTCATCACCAGCTGTGTTGAAGACATGTGAAAAAACCAATACTAAGTATTAAGAAGGAAACAAAAATGTCTCTGCTGCCCTGCTGAATTTGACTTTCAGTACTGTTTTTTGCCATCTTTCTCACTTGGCTCAGTGTGCTTAAATACTCTGAAAGAGAAACATTTTGCTGGCTGCCTCTTGCACAATCTCCAGGTGCACAGGCCAATGCCCAGTTTCCTGTGATGCAGAAATAAGTCAGTTGATTACATTTCTGATGCTTTTCTGAAACCTGTAATCTTTGAGCTCTACTAAGATTTAAGGCATATCAGGATAGGTTACTTCTTTGTGTCAAAATGGTTCAGATTGGAAAATAAATGCTCAGCCCCGATCAGAAATAATTTACTGTTGTCTTAAGAGAAAAGAATAGGGAGTAAACCATTACCATGGAAAATTTCACTGCAATTTTCTTTTGCATAAGTTTAAATTCCGAGTAGAGAGGCTGTCAATTAGTGTGCAGATTTTTTTAATTGGCTATAATAAAAAGCTAATTGGTGTTTTGCTTAAAGAGTGAATTAAGAAAGTGTTGCTATAGAAACTTTACATGTGTATAGTACTGCTCTACATAACAGTGAATATAATAGTCTAATGACCTTTCTGAGCCAGCTGTAAAGTCAAAGAAGAAGTGTTAAATTCAGGCTGGCTGCAGAGATCATTAAGGAGTTTGTGACTTCACCCATTTCATTGCCAGAAAGCGTCTCTGGCATTGTCTCATGGAATGTTTCTCTTGACTCAGTGTCAAGCCGTATAACAAATGCTGGTCTCAAAAGACTTGAACTTTTGTAAAATTCGAGTGCTCCAATTGTGAATGTGTAAACTGATCTGTAATCTGTCAAGCATAAAATGTACTGCTGGGAAAAATTCATTCTCATAATCTGAGAAAGTGTGATGATGGATCAGAAGTGGGAACATCTAATTCATGAGCTGTTGTGTCCCTCCCTCCTCTTCCTACTTTCTGTACCCACTGAATTCTGAGCCTCACGTGAAACAGAGGAATTACAATTTTAAGTGAAATGGGATTTCTGCTCCAATGTGCAATATTCTCTCCCAGCAGAAATATTTACTTTCTCAAATATAAACTTTGCTGAGGAGAGAATAATTTCTTCAGAATTTGTGAATAGGAATTTCTTTCCTTGGGCTAATGCTTCCCCACTGAAATTACTCCAGAGTCATTATCTGTAAATTTGCTAGCTGCTTAAAAGTTAGATACACTTGGCATGAACAAAAATTTTGAAGCATATGATGAACATAGTCATTCCTGCCTGGGAAGGTGATCAGTAATGAAATAAGTGACTTTATCTGGTAAGAAGGAAAACTGGAACATGACCTTGTTTTTCAGTTCCCTGATCCTGAATCTTGTTGTTGTCCATTTTCAACTGCATATCTAGAAGATGCAGGGGTATGAGAGCCTGAAGTTACTAGTCATGGTGGCTGAAAAACCTTAAAATGTTCTGCATGTTTTAAACATTGCTGTCACTGTCTAAATGCGAGAGACTGGATGAAACTGCAATCTCTTGGTGTTTGGGGGAATTGCTCACTGTGTTCTTTTTTTGCTTTGGTTTTCAATTAAACAAACAAACAAAAAAGCCCCCATTCTGTGTCTGTTAAATTTACCTCCATGCCTATTCTTCAAACTGGTAAAACACAAACATATTTGAGTGTGATTAGTGTATGATTTGAGGTTTTGGATTTTTTTCCTCACATTTTTATTTTCAGTAGATGCTTGGAAAAAAATCAAAGCCTTCTAAGTGGGTGAATTTAGGAGAATCTCTCAGAATTCTGTGGAATTATACAGATGGCTACTTTCTGTACCTCTGGGTCATGACTGAGTAGTATCATAATTTAGCAGATATTTTTCCCTTGATACACATATGTAAGCCCTATTAGTGTTAATGCCTTTCTGAAATGCTTCCCTCATATATTCAATAACTACTACGATGTCCAGACCCTGAAGTCTTATGAGTTGCATGGCATGTGACTATCTCTAGAGCTTAATAGATTGGATTTAATCTCATAGTTCACCTTTTGAGCAGTAAAACTGTAAGAAAGATAAAATGTTTTACCATGAAGCTTTTATGTGAGACCTGTGAGCAAATAAGTCTTTCTTCTGGTCCAGGGAAATGACTGGGGTTTTTTGGGTTGTTTTATTCAGCTTCCTTTAGTCTTGCCCAGTAAGACCATAACTGTAATTTCTGCTTACACGAACATTATAGTCTCAAGGTGTTGATTTGCAGAGAAGTAGTACAATATTGTATTTATGACTGTCAAGGTAATGCAACTTTTGGAACTCAGTAAATCCATCATTACTTCATTTTGAATTTTTGTTGCTTTGCTGCAGTTCATTTTCAACTGTCTTTGTGAAAATGGGTCTGGGTCTTGGAAGGGCAAAACATGAATTTCCTTTAGGACTGGTATTTTTTTTCTTAGTTTTAGTTGACTGTACAAAGCTCTGAGCATCCTGATCTAATGTTGATGTTATTCCTGCTTTAAATGAGGGGTTGGATCATCTGACTTCCTAGGCTTCTCCCAGCCCAAGTTATTTTAAGCACCTCTGACAGGGTTCAGATCTACAATGATAAAGGGGTTGTCTTCCTGTTGTTCCACCATTTTTATGAGCTGTGACTCTGCAAGGTTACCTTGAACACAATTACAACAGCAACTGAAGCACGAATAGTTAGAGTACCATCAGTTGGCTTCTGTTTTTTTGTGTTTATTTGGGGTTTTTTGGGGGGGTTTTTTGGGTTTTGGTGGGTGTTTTTTTGTTTTGTTTTGTTTTTTTTGTTGTTGTTGTTTTTTTGTTTGTTTGTTTGTTTGTTTTGGGTTTTTTTTGTTTTTTGTTTTTTTTTTTGTTTGTTGTTGTTGTTGTTGTTGTTTTTGAAGATAATTTATCTCCAGATGGAAAATTCAGGAATATCTTTAAAAATCTTTCTTTTGTGGCTTTTATTTCACCCATTAATTCAAGGTGAATTTTGGTCAGACCTTTGAATGCATACCTAGGAAAAGGTGTAGAAGCCAGTTCATCTCTCACCCAAACCCTCTTTCCCACCTTCTTACCTGCACAAGAGGAAACCTGTTGCAACATGGGTGCTACAGCCCTTATGATGGATCAGTAAAATGTATGTTAAAACCAGGTGTCTAGGAGATGGAAATTGCACTCCTGCTAGTTCAGTGCAGTGTGGTCCTACAAAAGGAGTGTTGGAGGAGCTCAGTAGGTTCTGCATTCTGGATGTTGAAAAGAAGTCAGGGAATCACAGAATGAGTTAGGTTGGAAAAGACCTTTGAGCTCATCAAGTCCATCCTCTAACCAAACACCACCATGTGAACTAGACCATGGCACTGAGTGCCACATCCAGTCTTTTCTTAAACAGTCACAACAGTCACAGTGCATTTCTCTATTTTTTATTATTTTTTTTATTATATTATTATTATTTTTTTTTTAGTATTACCTCTTTACTGCCCAGGTATGGTTGTGTTTACAGAAAGTTATGACAAAACTTGATTACTGTGGATCCTTTCTTCCATTTTTTTTTAATAATTTATTCAGTGCAACAGTAGAAGCTTATTAGTGGAGTTACCTGTGGAATCTTTATAATAAACTTTGATTGGTACTGAGTTTCAGTGATGTACACAGAGAATGCTGAAATGTGTGCTGAGCTACCTTGTTTTGCTTGGGGAAGGAACACATTGATACCTTCTGAATTTCATTAAAAGAAGAAGGGAGATTTATATGGATGATAATGAGATTGCTAGTGGGAAATAGATGTAAATTTGAAATTATTAAAATAACAATTTTTTTTTTTTTGTAATAAGAACACTTCTAGTTTAGTGATGGATAACCAAGGCAATGGTTTATTCTGCAGTGTTTTGTAGAAGAGCCACTGCAAGTTCCCTGAATAGGAATCTGCTGCTTCATGAAGCACACCTTGCTGGTTGCAAGGACATTGAATTTAACATTTTAGGCAGTCATTTTGCTTCTTTAAATAAGAAAAATACTTCATAAGGACCATCGTGTTTAAAAATATGTTCTGTTTTGCTGCTGTGTCAGGAAAATGAGTCTTCTATTTATATTTACAAGTTATATAATTGAAAATGGTTAGCTTTCTGTTTCAGTGAGTTGTATTATAAAGTGTGATGTGTTGCTCTCTTGCAGAGAATTTGTGTAGAGGCCAGACTGAAAATATGCCTTCATGACAAAGTGTCTACAAAGCTGATCCCATCTTGGCTTTAAGGTAAATGAAAAAAAAAAAAGTATCAAACACCTCTTCTGACTTTTCTTATCATAGATGTTTTTGAGCTTGAAAGAAATGCAAGGATACTGTGTTCTCAGAGCAAAGAAAGAAAGTATTTTAAGGAGTTAAGTTGTAAAACTTAAAATTTAGTCAAAATAAAGTGGAAGCATGAGCCAGAAATTTGGGTTAGGCTTCAGTAATTAAACAAAATGACAGTCAGTGGCATGAACACTTATGTGTCTTACACACTGCCTTGGCAAGCATCTGGTTTTGTCTAAAAATTGAATATGCATATGAAGGAGAGATCGTTCTAATTGAATGGAAAATATGAAATTACAAAGGCAACAAAGTATAAATAATTGAAAATCAGGTTGCAACTCAGCTTCTGTATGTTGAGAGCTCAGTTGCAAACAAAATTGCTAGAATGGGAATTCACAATTTTGTTCTTCTTAATTTTACTTTCATGGTACCATACTCCTGGTATAGAGAGCAAGGCAGTGAAAATGATGAAGGGGTAATTAAATAGCTGTAGGAAAGTAAGACCCAAACCAGAGACTAATTTTCAGCACTCTACAGCTTTCATTATATATGTATATGCTTTGATTTCTCATGTATATGGAAAAGGTATCCTCTAACACTGCATATTTTTAGTCTTTCTCCTCCAGAATTGTTTCACTTACTGTGTTTCATGGTAAGATGTGGCAAGCTGGTTTTGTTTGTGAAATCATTGCAGAAAAGAATTATTTTAATAATTTTGTGAACAGTTACTTGTGAGTAGTCCTTTATCATGGCCATACCCTGTTTGACTGTTTAGCATCTCTTGTTCGTTCGGTGAAATCACTCAGAACGGGTAATTTTCGGTGTTTGAAACTTTTTGGCTCCACTTACCCTGCTGTGTCTGTGGATGAAGGCACCAGTGAGATTTCTGCACTCAAAAAGCGTTATTTTCAAGCAAAGCTTTCTTCAAATTTAACCAATATTGTTAGACATAATAGGAACCATATGCTACTTCATATCCCAGTAGTAGGGTTGTGATGCTGGCATGTGCCACAGAACCAGGTTCCAGGAGCACAATAATTTTGAAATATTCACTGTAAAAATATGTTCAGTTCTGTATTTGGTTTAAAGGCCCAGGATTTGCCCTTAAGCATTAAGTACTTGTAGAAGCAAATCAGATTCAACAGTTTTACTGTTAAAAGGAGACCAAAGTAAAGCTGTTTGTAATACTTCCAAAAGGAGTACTCACAGCAACCCACAGCTGGGGAAGACTTTTGTTTTGTTTTATGTTTTGTTCTGACACTGTATCATGGGCTTGGTTGTATTCCCTTTAGGATGGGAATTATGGTCCTCTTCTAAGGACTTTTTGAGAATTGGAAGTTTTCATTAAGGACTGTGGAATTATTTAAATAATCTGATATTAATATTTTACTGATCTGAACAGTATTTAAATGCACATGTTACTGTAGTAAGACTCCAAACAAGTGTGTATTAAAACTTAAAATTTGAGACACTTGGAAAACACCCAAGGACTTGAAGATGACCAGAATGTCTTATTCTTAGCAAATCCTGAACTCCTCTAAATTCCTGTCATGGTATTGATGCAGTGTAGAGATTGATCAGTATTGCATTTGTCCAATTAGCAAGCAGGCATGAGTATACTTATTATACTAAAGTTTGTCTCTAAATGAGAGGAGAATCATCAATTTTGACCTGTGTGGACACAACCAGAGGAAAATTTTGTGAAAAATGAGTCTGTAAAAATGCTTCTGTGCTGTAAGGAACAAGCAGTACTAGTCAGGATGTTTCCTTCTGTGCTGTAAAATCATCTCTATGATCTAGTTTATTGACATCAGAGTTGTTTCTTTACATTGCATGTGCTTTGTACTTACAGCAAAAGACTCTAGTCCTCAAGATTCCGGTGATGGAAAAGTTTTCATGGTTCTTGGAAAATTGCCCAACAGTTTAACAGTGTTGGAAAACATTTGCCCTGTTTATTTCTTCAATTTGTCTGAATCAGCTGGAAGCATTGAAAATAGGTCTTTTTTTCCTGCTTACCTGCACAACCTTATGCTATGACGTTTCTGATCCTGCTGTAGTTGTTTTGACTGCCAGTTAATCACACCTGAGCTTCCACTTAAATATCAGTTTAAGCTCTTTTAGCCTTTTCTTTGTCCTTACATACATCCTCATGTTTTCCAGCCTTGTGCATGATCCTTGTCCTAATAATCTCTAATCAAGATCCTTCTCCATTGATGGTTAATGGACACGAAAACATGTTCACGTGGTGGTCTCAAAAATAAAAAGAGAGAGATAAATCGACTTTTCTAATTATGTGTTTAAGTGAGACCTCTGGGAATCTTGGGTTTCTCTATTGTAGAATTACGGGGTTTGCAATATTTGGTGTTATTTCAGAGCTTTGAAATAAGTTTTTCAATGTGTTAGTATTTTTCTTCACTTGAGGAGTTCTGTGAAACTTCAGTCTCATGAAAACTAGACAGATAACAAGACTAGCAAGGATGTGTTACAGGGTTGTTTGATGGCAGCATTAATGTGATACAAGAATGAACTTTGGCTGAAGGAGCCATATCTTCCCCTCTGTCCTCAGCCCCTTCCCCTTGGGTGCCATGTGAGGAGCTGGATGAGAGCTGCTCTGGCTGAAGTTAACCTGGGGCTGGGAGGGGGAGAATCTTCATCTTCACTTGCATTGCCCAGCTCCCTTTATGGCTGCAGGACTTCCCGGCTAGTGCCTGCAAGTGGAAGTTACCTTGTGGCTTGAGCATGGGCAGCCAGGGAGACTTGTGCTCCAGGGGTGAGGTATTAGGGGCAGTGGATTACCACCTGCAGTGGTTGAGGTACTGCTTTGTTTCCCTGGAATAAGTTAAAGGTAACACATTTCTGCTTCTGAGATCAGCTGCTTTTTATTTATCTTAACAAGGTTTAGAATAGCATTTCCTCATGTTGAATGCCATTCTTATGGAGTTAAAAAGCTGTCATCTCTTGCTTTATTTTTTACAAACTCAAAGGGCACTTTAGTACTGTCAGCGTGAGATCATCGCTGCCTAATAATAGACATTCCAGAAGATTTCCATTAATGTCGACTTTTAACAGAGCCCTGTTTCTATTAGAACTGCACCTTGCAGTCATGCTGCATCTTTCATTACAAAACAATTATCTGAATTGTGTGAATTGGCTAAAATCTATTAGCTGTTAAAACTCAGAATGTTGCTTCTGCTGGGAAAGAAAGTCATCTTGTTTAACTTCCCCCTCCCCTTCCTCCATCTATGAGAGTGGGAGCCTGTGTGAGGGAGGAAAGAAAAGGAGCCTGATGGTGCTTAATGGCTGATGAATACAGCCAAGGATATAGGAATGGTTGCCTGGCAACGGGGGAGGATGGGCTGAGGTCCCTTGTCACTACATAGGAGTTGACATTGGCTCATCTCTTGAGCTCATGAAGGCTGACTTATGCTGTTTGCATACTTTATTCTCAATATGGGTTAGATCTGTATCTTACATGTTTTGTCTCTATGTATTTCATACTCTTAAAAAGAAACACAAGAAGAATGGAAGCAAATCAAGCATTTTAGTTAAAGGAAGAAAACATGTGCATCCTGTCCTGTGCAGGCTTTCAAGATGACAGCCATGTTTAGAGAGATTTACCTAAAATTTTGAGCTCTTAGACCTAGTTCCAGGTATAAAGTCATGTTTTCTTAGTCTGGGAGCCCTCTGAAAATTGTCCTTACTGCTGAAAGACAGTGAGCTAGGGTTTGTGTTACAATTGCAGCCTCGAGAAGGCTACCTTTTTGTGGTTAAACACAGTTCTGAAGTGACAAATCTCTTACTGGTGAAATATCAGGCTGCTAACAAAGTGTGTACAGTGAGGAATGGGACAGACTTGACCTTGTACAAGTTGTTCTTAAACAATTCAAATGGATTTTGAACACAGGTGTCTGTATGAGCTGTAGCTCTATCTTTGTGCTGCAGTAGAGTTGTATGTAGGTTCTTCCTTTGGGAGATGATGGAGGGCCTGTGTTAGTTTGGTGTTCTCTAGTAGACCTTTATGGAAAAGTACATGGACATTACTACATGGAGGTTGCTATCATTAAGTGAATATTGATAACGTTTTTTCTTTTCTGTGGGCATAATTATTAAGGAGAATGTTGCAGCTGGCTTGCACAGACCCAGGCTGTGCAGTCTAGCAGGCTGTGTATTTTGGATATTGCCAGAGGCAGTAATTTCCTTTGCCCTTTTAGCTCTCAAAAACAACTCTGGTGCCTAATGATAAGGTCAAAGCTGTAGGAAACAGGTTGGGATCTTGTTTTGAACTGTTGGACAGGAGGTCTATGTAACCATTGTGTGCTCGTTTCTTCCACCAGGCAAAAATGAGGTTAATGTGTGTACATCTGCAATTGTATAATCTTGGGAATTCTTAAAAGTGAAAAGCCACACCTCTCTCTTACTAGAAAGAGCAATTCTCATTTGCTTGCTTCCCTTTTTGATTGTTGAGTTCAATGCTTTTATTAAGGCTGAAACTTGACCTACTGTGAAGTACTGAAACTTGACCTACTGACCAGCTGTCAAAATACAGAGTATTTGTATGGAAATGTATTGATAAAATTCGCAAAGAAACCCATTATGTTTTCTGGATGCTTTGTAATTATCAGACTTTGAATAATCTAGACATAAGTCAGTGTTTTCATCTGCACAGTCTGTTCTCTCTCTCTGTCCCCATGCAAACACACAGAGGCCAGACAGCAGCAGCCAGCTGTGAGGAATTGCTTCCTTGTAACTGGAGATCCTCAGAAAAATCAGGTGAAAGGTTTGAAATGTTTCAATTTGGATAGTCAAAGCCTTGAGGCAATTGTCATTAATAGAATGGTCTTTCTCCTTCATTCTTCCCCTTGTAAGCTGTAGCTTCTGACTTAACTATTTATCTTTTTAATGGTGTATACTTACATTACAAGCCCTGAATTTGCTACAGGGTATTGAGAAATGTTTTGTAG